GCACTAGCTCTGTTTGGGGAGATGCAAATCCAAAGAGTTAAGCCTGATTAATTCACTATGGTTGCTCTCCTTACGGGCTGTGCCTAGTTGGGAGCTCTGGAACAAGGAAAATGGATCCACGGTTACATAGATGAAAACAGAATCACAGTTGATGCGGTTGTTGGTACTGCTCTAGTAGATATGTATTGAAAACGTGGGTACATAGAGAAATCCCTTAAGATTTTCAATGGGTTGAAATAGATAGACACATCCTCATAGACTTCAATTATTTATGCACCGGCCATGAATGACAAAACCAAAAAGACACTGGAACTGTTCTCAGGTATGAAACAGGCCGGATTTAAACCTGACGATATCACATTTATTGGTGTTTTAAGTGCTTGCAGTTATGGGGGACTGGTAGAGGAAGGCCATTGGTACTTTAATTCAATGAGAGAGATGTATCAAATTGAACAAAGAACACTATGGGTGTCTAATTGACCTCCTTGGTCGTGCTGGATTATTAGATGAAGATGTACAAGACAAAAATAATGAGATTATAATTCCACTTTATGGTGATTTGCTGAGTGCCTGCAGAATCTATGGTAATGTTGATATGGGTGACCGTGTGGCTCAAAGGCTTGTGGAAATTGAATCTAATGATTCCAGTGTCCATACTCTTCTGGCCAATATCTATGCTTCTGCTCACAGATGGAAGACGTGACAAAAGTAAGACACAATATGAAAGCTCTAGGAGTCAAGAAGGCACCTGGGTGTAGTTCAATTGAGGTTAATGGAAATGTCCATGAGTTTGTAGTTGGAGATGCATCTCACCCACAAATGAAAGAAGTTCAATTAATGTTGAATAGCATGGCTAAACCATTGTCAGGTTTAGAAGCAAATGAAATGGAATGAGATTTTACACAGTTCCAACATTTTTGTGATGAATAAAACCTTATTTCACCAGTTCAAATTTGATCTTTCGAAAGATTTAAAAGATTGAGAATTTTCAGTTTGCTGCATATCATTCAATGGTTTAAGTTCTTAATTGAAACCCAAAAGTTCCCTCAGGTGTATGGCTCCAGTTATTCAAACACAACTTCTTGAGAAGAGAAGGGGCAGTAAGAAAGTATTACTCTGATGTTCGGAGAGTGAAGGGTACTTGTATAGAAGTGTTTGAAAATCTGAAAGGCGCGTCTGACAGATGCTTAGGAAGTTTCAGCACCTCAGGTGGGTGAGCAAGAAAATGGATGCATGACATTCTGAAGGAGTTACAGCTAAGCATAACAGGAAGTGCATCAAATCAATTTTGTAACCAACAAGGTCAGACCTGGTAAGCTTGTATGGTACACACTTTGTCGTTATTTTACATAACTTATAGAAATGCTTTGTATAACATAGGGGGAAAATAAAAAATGAATATTATGAATTCAATATGAAAATCTGAGTGACACTTGTGTACTTTGCATGTGTTGATTGACATAAAAACTATGCCTAATCAGATATGAATCGCTTGTCAACTTTTCTGTAGTAGCTACCAAATGACGACATAAGTATTGTAACCTGGATTTTTGGTTATGTAATTAGATTACAGAGGTAACTAAAGGAGAGACTGGTTTTTGATCTGCATGGTAAGCTTGAAATACTAAAGGTCTAACTGAAGACACTTTTATCTGAAATTATGTTCCATTGATAATTGATGCACAGATTTCTTGTTTTGAACAATACTGAATTACTCAAAAACCTTAAAGAGTGAACACACAGTAGTGTTATTATATAAACTAGAAGATATCAAATGTACATGTACCTTCATGCACACACACATAGGTATTGTGGTATCGTGTTATTCAGAATTCTACCTTAAACACAGTAGAAGTGCTCCTGGATCTTTTGCAACTCATAGGTGTTACCAAAAAATTGTTATAATTCTCACATTGCCTGGGAGTCATCTAATGCCAATTTGAATTAGTCATAATCTCCATCACCGTGTTAATTAACCATCTTTACCATGCATTTATGCAACAGGGCATAATCATAAAAATCATCACTATATATATATCATTTTCTCCATCTGCATGATTCTAATAGCATTCGGCTATGCTTAATTATAGAAAGGAAGAGGAAGTGTTGGGCTCGTTTCTGCCCTAGCAAGTCACACAAGGAGTGTGGAGTGAGTGTGGAGTGAGACTTCAAGGGGGTGGATGACCCAATGCCGGTGACAGTGCGTAGCACTAATTTACCCTGCCATATAGGAAATTTAAACGACAGTTCAATATATATATACACACACACACAGACACATGTTGGAGTAACCATTAATTATGTGATGGCGAATCGAAAAACAAAATATAAGTGCATGGGTTGGGTGACAACAGCAGTGGAGAGTGAAAACTTAAAAGTAGTGGATGATGCGCCCCTACCTTGCAAAGGGTAGAGAATATTGTGAGGTACATTATCCTCTAGCAAAAGGTTTATGAGTGATGACTACCCTCTCTCATCCTTATAAATTTATTTACTGTTATGGGTTTCATCTTCTGAAATATATGATCCACAATTTTAAAAAAGCAGCTAATAAATAGAAGGCGTGGCTTCTCAGCTTATTCTAGCCAAGGCACAACAAGAGCAAGGTCACATGATCTCTCAACATAAGTTTCTGCTATTGAAGTCTATTTCCTGCCAATTCCTATCAAAACCACTTCACTTGACAACTACTACTAACTCATACTTCACAAGACCCACCAAGAAAGCATGTCTAGACAACCTTCGAAACTGTAAGTCCATGAAACAACTCAAACAAATCCAAACCCAAGTTTTCAGGATTGGTGTACATCAAAACAAAGACACCCTCAGCAAGCTCATGGTCTTCTGAACACATCCATCTCTTGGAAGCTAATCCTACGTCAAGAAGATCTTCGATTACATTGAAGACCGGAGTTTGTTTGTTTACAATGTAATGATCAAAGCATATGCCAAGAAAGGTAGCTTAAGAAAACCTTTTTTTTTGCATGATCAATTGAGGATGCATGGTTTGTGGCCAGATAATTTCACCTACCTCTTTGTTTTCAAGGCCATCGGATGCTTGCGGGAGGTTTTAATAGGCGAAAAGGTTCATGGGTTTGTTGTAAAGAGTGGGGTTGAGTTTGATTGTTATTTTTGTAACTCATTCATGGACATGTATCCAGAACTGGGTTATGTTGTGAAATTAAAGAAGTTGTTTGATGAAATGCCTGAGAAAGAGATGTGGTTTCTTGGAATGTCTTGATCTCTGGATACGTTAGATGTAACAGATTTGAGGATGTTGTTGATGTTTTTTGGCGTATGAAATGGGAAAGTAATCTGAAGCCTGAAGAAGCTACAGTTGTAAGTACTCTTTCGGCCTGAACAGAACTGAAAATTTTGGAACTTGGTAAAGAAATTCACCGGCATGTTAGCCATGAGCTTGGATTTACCACTATAATTGGCAATGCCTTGTTGGATATGTACTCCAAGTGTGGATGTTTAAGTATAGCCCAAATTTTTTTTGACGCAATGCCAAAGAAATGGGAAAGTAATCTGAAGCCTGAAGAAGCTACAGTTGTAAGTACTCTTTCGGCCTGAACAGAATTGAAAATTTTGGAACTTGGTAAAGAAATTCACCGGCATGTTAGCCATGAGCTTGGATTTACCACTATAATTGGCAATGCCTTGTTGGATATGTACTCCAAGTGTGGATGTTTAAGTATAGCCCGAATTTTTTTTGACGCAATGCCAAAGAAAAATGTGATTTGTTGGACAAGTAGGTGTCTGGGTATATAAACGACGGTCAGTTGGATAAAGCTAGGGAGTTGTTTGAGAGAAGTCCAGTTAAGGATATTATTCTTTGGACGGCTATTATTAACGGGTATATGCAGTTCAACTGTGTTGATGAGGCACTAGCTCTGTTTTGGGAGATGCAAATCCAAAGAGCCTGATAAATTCACTGTGGTTGCTCTCCTCACGGGCCGTGCCCAGTTGGGAACTCTGGAACAAGGAAAATGGATCCACGGTTACCTAGATGCTTTAGTAGATATGTGTAATGACCTACTCTACTGCATGGTATGATATTGTTTGTTTTAGACCTGAGCATGCACGGTTTTATTATTGGGCTTCACCCTAAAAGGCCTCATACCAATTAGAGATGACACACTTACATATAAGCACCTCACCTATCCTCTAGCCAGACGATGTGGAATTGTGCACCTGTAGTTCGCCAGTATGGTTGTCTGTCAGTATCTTTCGCATCCGCCCACGACACACCCGCTCACAAAGTCATCACAATCCACCCCCTTGGAGGCCCGACGTCCCCGTCGGTACACTTCCAGCTGGGTTAGGCTCTAATACCATTTGTAACGACCTTGTGGACAGTTGTGTCGTGGGCGGGTGCGAGAGACACTGACAGACTACTATACTGGTGAGTTACGAGTGCACAGTCCCACATCACCTGGGTAGAGGAAATGTTAAGTACTTATATGTAAGTGTCTTATCTCCAATTGGTATGAAGCCTTTTGGGGGTGAAACTCAAAAGTAAAACCGTGCGGGCTCAGGCCCACAGTGAAAAATATCATACCATGTGAAATCACATTTATTGGTGTTTTAAGTGCTTGTAGTCATGGGGGACTGGTAGAGGAAGATGTATCGAATTGAACCAAAGTTAGAACACTATGGGTGTCTAATTGACCTCCTTAGTTGTGCTGGATTATTAGATGAAGCAGAGGGATTGATCGACGATGTACCAAACAAAAATAATGAGATTATAAATCCAATTTATGGTGCTTTGCTTAGTGCCGGTAGATTTTTTTTTTTTTTCTCTCTCTCTCTCTCTCTCTCTCTCTCTCTTAACCAAAGTAATTACCGAATTTATTACTCTTTTCTCTTCCTTCTATTCCTTTTTCAAATCCCTTCCAATGCCTTTCCCTTCTCTTCCCTTTCCTCCCAAATCAAACAGAAGTGTAACAAACATTGCCAAATGATTTAAAAGGGAAAATCTCCAACAAACGCCCACCAATCATTTTGTGGCTAAGATTTTGTGTTACTTCATAGTCCAGTCCATACCAAAAGCCAGATCAACATGTATTATGTAAACTCTGTACACCCAAAACAAATGGCTGTTGCACATATTTCAGACCATATTCCCGGCTTAATTCCCGGCCTGTGTGTCAGTTCCCGGCGACGGCACATCACCAAACCCGCCGGAATTTATGTCTGTCCTCCCAAACAATTTAGGAATGGAAACTTCGTGATTAAAACTGACCAAAAATTCAGGTGGGTTGTTAAACTTAGCTTAGTAGACCAAAGCCCGCCAAAATCAACAATCGATGCGAAACGCCTGGTGGACTTCTTGTACGAGGACCTACCACACCTCTTTGATGATCAAGGGATCGATCGGACGGCGTACGATGAACGCGTCAAGTTTCGGGACCCAATCACGAAGCATGACAGTATAAGTGGGTATCTCTTCAACATAGCCCTTTTAAAGAATCTCTTCACGCCTGATTTCCAGTTGCACTGGGTCAAACAGGTATGCTTTTCTACAGTATTGTGGTGTGTATATGCGCGTATACAATGTTTGTACTTACTCATAAGGATTACCAAGAAGATTTCTATGTTGGGTTTGATATCAAGAACCCAAATGAAGTATCAATTAGCAGATAAAAATGATGTTTTAAATGTAACACAATCTGATTGATTCTCTGTTTTCTAGTCTACCAGAAAGTGAACCCAGAATATCACTTAGACTTTTTTTTTTGGTTGGTAAAAGGCAATATTAAACCCTTTTATTTCACTTATATAAATATTACTCAGATTCTGAATTTTGCTTTGCATGTTGTTATTAAAAAATAAAAATAAAAAAGATTTTGAAATTTGGCTTATACTGTATCCATTTTGCATGTGATCTGCCCTGTAATTGTAAAATTAGCTGCATAACACTTCAGTAATTGTTAGATGTCATTAAATCCCTCTTAGTTTATATAGCTTCTGAGAAGAAAATGTTCAATGCTGTATAAGTTATTTTTTAGGCTCTTTTATTTTTATTTTTCGGAGTTTGGCAAAGGTCTAAGTCGAGGCTGAGGTGAGTCTATCGGGTGGGGCGTGTAAAATATTTTTTTCCCGCTCAAACAAACGGAGCCTTAGTAACAAAAATTTTCCTGTCATGCTGACTCCAGTTGTTTTGCAACATGTGCATTTTTTTTGTTTGTAGAATCTCCATTTTGAAAGACAGATTTATGACTTTGATTGCTACAGAGAAGATCCTATAATTTCATTTTCACAATCATCGTAGGACTTGGATCATTAACATCTTTAGTGGGTAAGTCGAGAAGTGGAAGTGGTCAATCACACAATTCTTAAGGCAATATCTTAAAGGAAGGCATGATCATTTGGGAATAAATAGTTATGAATGTTGTAGAACTTCGAAGAAAGCTAAAAGATTTTGATTTAAGTTTAACTTAGGATCCAATATTGATTTGTTAGAGTGCACGCGAAATCTGACAGAGGATCCAATCTAAACAAGATGTCTTGATCTCCATGGTAACCCCTTTTTTTCTCTCTCTCTCTTTTTTTTTTTTTTTTTAGAAATTACTTCTTGTAATGGTCTCTATTATCTTGTATAACTTCATTGAGGATATATAGCACACGGATTTCATTACTTTCCTGGCACCTAATTTGTGTTTGTTTTGCAGGTTTTCCTACAATGAATTTAAGTTCAACTTGAGTTTTGTTTCTTTGACTGATTGAGTTGCTATAGACAGGACCTTATGAAATGACTACAAGGTGGACTATGGTAATGAGGTTCATTATTCTGCCATGGAAACCAGAATTGGTTTTCACAGGAACTTCTGTTATGGGCATCAACCCAGAGACAGAGAAGTTCTGCAGCCATGTGGTAAGATCCCTTTCTGTGCCATGTAAACAGGAATAATTTAGTATTATCAAAATTAGTGATTTACTCTTTCTTTTTGTACACATTTCGTAGGACTATTGGGATTCTATAGAGAAAAATGACTACTTTTCTCTAGAAGGTTTATGGGATGTAATGAAGCAGGTGATTACCATTATGTTTCTAAATTTTGCAAGTGCCACCGAGTGTCCCTTCTTATATGTATATTGTAATTCATTGCAGCTGCGGGTTTACAAGACTCCAGAACTGGAATCACCCAAATATCAGATACTGAAAAGGACTGCAAAATATGAGGTTTGTTTGTATTTCCTGGAATAAGTCTTGCTGCAATAATGCATTTCTATTATCTAGAATTATTTCTATTCAATTGACCGAAATTGAAGCAAAACACTACGCCTAATTTTTGGAACCACCAGATAATGGAGTTATTAGTTTGGCAATCTATTAAGCCTACAAACCAACAGCCCATTAATGTTGCTATGGTGTCTTCATCTTACTTATAACAGGATTTGAACTGTTGAGTGTTTCATGAGTGGTAACCAAGTTTTTTTCAACTCGAATTTTTTGGTCATCGTTTATTTTATTACTATTGCCTTCTTGATATTTATGCGCTCGTGTAAGGACTTCTGACTACTGGGAATAACTTATTCTGCTAATGTGCCTATTAAATTCGTGTTTGTGAACCATATATAGGCTTGGCTATAATATTCAAATGAAATACAGGTAAGAAAGTACACCCCATTCATAGTTGTAGAAGCAGATGGTGATAAGCTGTCTGGGTCAACCGGCTTTAATGCTGTTACAGGGTGAGTGTCATTCTGAATTATGTGTCTTCTTTATTTTTTTTCTTTGTCTCTCTTTTTTGGATAATTTGAGATCTAATTCCATTTGCACAGGTATATTTTTGGGAAGAATTCCACAATGGAGAAGATACCCATGACTACTCCTGTCTTCACTCAAGCAATTGATGCTGAAATGTCCAAAGTATCTATTCAAATAGTTCTTCCATCTGAGAAAGATATGAGCAGGTGAATTTCATCCACTGTATTCTATTATATTCTTAAATAGTAAAACTGAAACTATGTAAAATAAAATTTTCATTTTATTGTCAAAGCCATGGCTGGATTTCTTTGATTACAATATAATTGCCAAGAGAAACCAAACCACAATAGAATAAGCTTAAACTCCCTTATTACATGATGTAAGCAATTGACAGGTAGTCTGTATTCTTGACCAGCTTACCAGATCCCAATCAAGAATCAATTAGCTTGAGGAAAGTGGAAGGAGGCATTGCTGCAGTTTCAAAGTTCAGTGGAAAACCTACAGAGGATATTGTTTGTGAGAAGGAAAAAGCACTTCGCTCCAGTCTTATTAGAGATGGTCTTAGACCTAAAAAGGGTTGCTTGCTTGCTCGCTACAACGATCCTGGTCGAACATGGAGCTTTATAATGGTATGATACACATATGATTCTTATCTGGTTTAATTTGCTTTGAACCTTTAATTTCGTGGTTTCTTCTGTTTTTTATTGCTTTAAGAATGAATTCAAACCTTCAGACATTCTTATTCTCATTACTTTGTGTGGATTTAAGTTATACCACATCATCAAAAGTCAAAAATAGGCTAACATCATCTCAGTGTCAACTTTAAAAGAAAGCAAGAACAAGACAAAAGTGGTCAACACTTGGTCGATATATGGACTCCGGCCAGCTCAACAAAAACACTAACAGCCAGTCGATAAGCCCATGGCATAAGATTTGAAAACTGTCAATCGATGGACCCAGAATTTCGATCCGACTAAGCGACAAACTGTTGATCGATGGGCCCAGAACCTCGATCCGACTAAGCCACAAATTGTCGATCGATGGGCCCAGAACGATCTGACTAAGCCACAAACTGTCGATCGATGGGTTCAGAACCTCAATCCGACCAAGCCACAAACTGTCGATCGATGGGTTCAGAACCTCGATCCGACGAAGCCACAAACTGTCGATTGATGGGTCTAGAACCTCGATCCGACTAAGCTACAAAGCCACAAATTGTTGATCGATGGGCCTAAAACCTCGATCCGACCAGGCCTTCCATAGGTCGATAATCTAACAATGAAGTGTAGTGGTAGCACTTTTCAGAGCCTTTGGGAATGCCGAAGGGATTTTGGAATAGAGGATGGAAGATCAGTTTCAAGTCTTGCAATGGTAGACCTAATTTGGGGAAAAATGGAAAGGCGACCTGGAATAAGTACAGAGACCCTTACAACCACCCTCTAATAGACTAAACCACACTCAATAAAGGCCACACCTGCTTTTGGCAGTATAGGCACTAAAAGGTGAAAAAACAAGTACACTGACCTGGCAATAGGTCCGAAAAAGCTAGGATTAGGGCATTATGACCCATAGAGGGACATGGGCTCTGACTCACTTTATCCATTGGCCCAATGGATACAAGGTGGGTGACCTAGGGCTATAAAGAGGAGGCAAAGTTAAGGGGCTCAAGGATCAGCCTCTGTTAAGTACCAGTGATCGTTCTTCTCTACCATCGTTTTCAATCCCTAAAATTGGACTGATTTTCTCTCCCTCAATCCGCTCTTCTGTATTCCTCATATTGTTTTAGTGATATTCCCATAAATAGATTCATTCTTGATTTGACCCAGAAAACAGGTACATACACTTTGCATGCAAAATAAAGTTTACTCTGTAGCAACCAACAGGCCAGTGGCCTAGCAGTATCAAGTTCTTACTTCCAAAATGGTGGTCAAGGGTTCAAGCCTCGGTGGAGGCATGTGTGTGTGAGTACCAACTAAGAATAAATAAATAAATTACTCTATAGCAGGAACAATTCACTCCAATCAAATTAAATGTCATCAATTCAATGCTATAATAACAAAAAAATAAAGGGTAAATTACACTTACACCCCCTGAGGTTTGCCTTGTTGACAGCTATATATAAGTTGGACTATTTTAGAACAATAAAACCCCATCAGGTTTGTTCTTTTTGACAAAGACACCCCTGAGTACTCTAACGCATAATAAAATGACCAGAATACCCTTTGACTTATAATTGACTCATTCAAATATTGAAATTACAAATTTAACCTTTATAGCTAATTTTAATGGACCAATATAGCCTCTTTCATTTATAAAAATTCAACACAAAATACTCCTTTTTATTTATACATATATATACACACATGTATACATATAAACCAATTCAACATAACATCAATCCTAAATATAACTAGACTTTTTATGAATATTTAATTTACTATTTAAGAAAAAATATATATTTAATTTACATACTAAATATAAATTTAATTTGTAAATTTTAAGATAAAAATTATGTAATTATAATTGAGACTTTTTTTTTTTTTAGAAGTTAAAGCAACTGACAATTGATGAAATGAGGATTCGAACCTGGTCCTTTGGCCAAAAGCATCACATGCCCTATCACTGGGCTATCACACCACATCCAATTATAATTGAGATGTTGCTCTAAAAACAGACATTTCATCTTCTCTCTCCACTCTGCATCGTCAAAGCAGCATTGTTCAGCACCTCCACCCCTTCTTGCAAGGTTTATATATAAGTATATTTGTATATATAATTGTATGTATTTGGCCCTAAATTGGCCATAATTGTAATAGCTTCTAGAAAAAGCTTGTGGAATTATTTATCGTTTGTTTGAATTAGATTACATTGTAGTTGGGTTGGTTTGAATTGGGGAGAGGGAAATTATGATCTGGGTTTGGTGAAATCCAAAACTGATTCGAGACCCACTTCTTAAGCTTCCCAACCACCACTTCGTCCACCACCATCCCCTGTGTACACTTCATTGGAAGTGCTTTAAAGGGTTCAATTATTGATGGCGAGGCGTGTCAAATCAAAAATCGGTGACCTATATCATGATTGTAGATCACCCGCGAGCGTCGTTGAATCGATGATGGAGAAGATCATGGAGACTTTTCAGGCCACCTTTACAAACAAATCTCCACCTCAAATTCCTCAAAATAACAGAGCCAATACCACACGTTTTCTCTCTCATCCACCAAACCTGTCCCTTGCAAGAAACCACCGCCGAACTCATCGACACCGCCACTCACTGTCACTCAAAATCCGACGTTTCTCACCAAATCAAGCTATGGAAACCGGTTGTCACCTTCACCTCCAGTGGTATTGTGTACTACCATGTGAGAGTGGTGGTGATGGGGGAGAGTTTAGTGTGGATGGAGATTTCTGATATGGGGTTGATGATGAGGGCGATTGAGGAGTTGAGAGTGACACAAGGCGTTAGCTTTGTCAGGGGACGGTGGCTCTGCCGGGGGGCGATGGTGAAAGAGGCAAATGTATGTGTGTGTGTATATACGTGTTCATATATACATATACATATATATACATATACATATACATATATATACATATACATATAGATACATATACATATACATATATATACATATACATATATATATATATAGAGAGAGAGAGAGAGAGAGAGAAGATGGGCAATTTGGTCATTTATTTGTTAGGGTATTTTACATAAAAATTTAATAAAATATTGAAGGTTAAACTCATCTTTTCTAATCTTTTAAGGCCTATATGGAACAAAATTCTGACGGGGGGTTCATTGTTCAAAAATTGCCCAACTTGTATATTATTGTCAATAGGGCAAACCTCTAGGGGTATCATTGTAATTTACCCAAAAATGAAATATAGCAAATAGAACTGCATAACTGTGAGAATTGGGTTTGTACATCTTGCAACTTTTTATTAAGTTTAGTGGTCTTAATCAATGCAATACCCACTATAATGTTTATCTTTTCTCCATGTAAGGATCATGATATCACAGTATCAGGCAACTTAATCATAGAATGTAGTTTAGTGTTGATATCATCAGTATGTTAAGATTCATCGAGTCAGTTGAATCTTGGCCTAAATCTAGGTTGCAAATACGCCATCTACGGTACCAAAGGCTCTGTTGTCCTGTTGTTTTTTGAACATCACGCTATTAATTTTCTGAGGTGTAAAAAATCTGAGTCTGATGTGACAAGATTTTAGCTCTGTCAGTTAAAGAATATCATAATAGAATTCTAAATTTTCTTCTATATTAGATATACTTGCGGCTGTTTTTTTTTTTTTTTGGGCTTCAAATTCTGTCAAGTGTGCTTCATCTAATGCACTTTATGGTTCATTATTGGTAGAACTAAAAGATTGTGCTTCTATGACAACAACATATGGATCTCTAGCATTTTTAGAAACGATACTTATTAATTTCTTTTACCTGCTTGCATAATTAAGTCTACTGTTGATTTCACTGCAAGGCTTCCAAGTTGGTTTCACTTGTGTATTTTATTCCGAACTTTAAGTTCTTTAATTGTTAAAGTCCTTATAGCTGCTTCTTTTTCTCCATCTTTTTTCAGCTTATATGATTTGACTGTGCTTCTATTTCTTTTCTTTCTTAGACAGCATATATCATAACTCGGTAGTGCAACCAATTTTGTTCTGTTTGCTACATTAAATGCAATATCAGGTTTATTCATCTGATCACGCAGGACTAAACGATTGTTCTTCTATGAGGAGTTTCCAATTTTGATGTTTGTGACATTAGATTCATCTTAAAGTCCACATCCCAGGTCACATCATTTAGTCTACTGTGTAAAATATTTTAAGGGTAGTTGTAACCCATCTTCCCGACACTTGTATAATTTTCTCCAAATCGAAAATAATTCCTTCTTATTACTTTTTTTCCCCCTTACTGATCTCAATATCTGGTTTGTGCTTGCTTGCATTGTAGAGGAATGAAGTTATTATATGGCTGGAGGACTTCACACTGGACTAATATTTTGGCCATCCACTAGCACATTGTGTTGATCAATATCGACATACCTTCAAGTTGCCAGGAGAGGTCATTTCAGCTGAATTGTAATCATATAAACACCGTAGCAAACCTCCAAAGAATATTTATTTCATCTGTACAAGGATTTCGATTACTTACACTGGATGGTTGTAAAGAGTCATACCTGAATAATTGTACTAAAAGCTTCTTTCAGCAAATCAAAGAGAAGTAGTTCAAGTATTCCTTCTTTCCAAGTTTTTTTCTGTCAGCTAAGACTTGCATTTACCATATTTGGAACTAGTATCCTCCTCATTCTCTTTAAGAATGGTCAGTAATTCAAACCATTTTGGCATTTCATTAATTAATTGCTCTATTTCACGGGTTAACTTACATCACTTTGCACTTTATCCCCATGTTGGCTTTGACTACCATGTCTATTATCGTATTAGATTTCAATTTTTGTGGCAGTGTTCCTGGACTTCGGCTCTAATTTTTTGAATTGAGTTTCCGTTAGTGTACCTGTTCATCTGAGCTTCTAGAGTTGATCCACTTTTGCTACTTGAATGTCCAAAGTATGGATGGCAAACACCAACAGAAGTTGACATTGCAAGTTTGAAATTGGAAGAAGAAAGAAAAACAGGGGTGATACTATAACACGGTAGTAGAAACTCACGAGGGATTGTTTTGTTTTCCTTGTTGAATTTGTTGGAATAGAGTAGGTTATGTTCTGGTTTGGCTGGGAGGAGCCTCTCTCTCTAACTTCTAGAGAGATAAACATCTATTTTCAATCTGCTCTTCCCCTCTCCTTCCAGAATCCCCAATCCGTTTTTGCCCTTATATTTGTTTGTTCTCTATTCATCAGAGTTGTTCTTTCTCTCCCAGTAGAGGTTTATCTGTACATCAGAGTTTTTTTTGTTCTTTCCATGTTATTTTTGGTTGGATTTCTGCCCTCCAGTCTCCAATTCGCTGGTTCTGTGGGTGGTCGGCTTGGGTAGGTTCCTGGTTTCAACGGCATGTTGGACCGGGAGTTTTGCTCGGTGACAATTGGATGGGTCCATATCCATTTCCACAGCTTTTCCCTTTTGACCCAGTGTTCGTCGCCACAAATCTACTGTCGATTTGTTCCTGCTATTCATGTTGCCCAAGGATCTTCCTCTTTTCTATGCCCTACAGTGGATATCTCTGCTCGATCCTTTTTGGAGATTGTCTTGCTAGATGGATTCGAGGTTGCGGCTGCCTTTGTTTATCCCGTTTCATTTGCAGGTCGTTAATGCTTCTGGTGCCTGCTGTGTCATGATTGTCGGCTTCATCGGTCGTTGGCTATTGTATCGGTTGGAACACGTCTTCTTGTGGAAGCAAGACCTTCTTTTGGCGTTTGGTGGGCCCTGGCTGTGAGTGCTTTGGGATTTCGTGTGTGGTGGTGCATTTTGTTGCATTTATTATTGGGTCCTTCTGTAAGCACAACGTAAGTAAATTGTCTCAGCCAAATGCCATGGGATCAATTGGGTGATTTGATAGGTCCTTAATCTGACCATTTGGGTGCTTTGCTTCTCAGCTTTTCTTGGGCTGTTCTTCCATTTCTTGCCTTTCTGGAGTTGGCTTGATGATGCTTAGTACTCCTACTTTTTCTGATACCCTTTAACGCTTAAGGTTTATGTTAACCTTTCTGAGTATAAGTCTTATTGTGGGAGGTTTTATGTCTCATGCTTTTTTTTTTATGTACCCGTGATTCTTTGATCTTGTCATGTAGATGCGGTATGGTGTTTCTTTGCCAGGTTAAAAAAAAAAAATGTTCCGGTTTGGCTGTGATAATTTAAGTTGCAATTGACTAAAATGTTTTATCTGTCTTATTAAACTATTGAAACAGACTGAGAAGGTTTTAATATATATATAAGCACAGCCATTATGAACTCATTAATTTTAAAGAGAGCTGCTATTGAAGCCCATTCATTTTTATTTTTATTTATTATTTTTTTTTAATATTATCTATATCGAGTGCCACTTCACTCTATGATTTGTTGGTTGGTTATGTTCCTCAATCAAATTCGAAATGATCCAGCATATTCAAATTTCAAACTCAAACTGGTCCATAGCACATAATGTTCCCATTAAGATTCCAGTTGAAAATTTGACCACCAAGAGGGAGACCCCATAAGTCCATAGGATCATAACCATTGTAAATTGATTCCCATAAAAACGACCGGAAGCGACTATAGTCAAAGCAGTTTAGTAAGATTCAAAACCCGGTCGGCGCCGCCTATTTCTCTCTCTTCGGGTGCTATCTCTGTCTCTAAACTCCTCAAATCGCATACTCTTCGCTTTTACAGTCTACGGCTTGGCATGTTGTTCTCAATTTCTATATATAAAAATATATCCACGTAATGCTAGATTTCTGTTCGTAGTTCGTATATATTACGTCTCCCTCTGTGTCTCTGGGGAGATTCAAGCAGTTGGAGGTGTGGTTCCACCTTCAAGGTCAGTTTTAGTTTCGTTCTTATAGCAATTGTTTTCTGTGTAATTGCACGAAAATCATGCTATTGATGTGAATTCTCATCTGGGATTTGTCTAACGTATTCATACAAACAATTCTAAAAAATCCATGAAAGATTTGTGCATCATGTGGATTTTCATGTGGCTTTCTTTTGAAGTTACGAGTACTATTTTTCAGCAATGTATATCTTTTAATTGTCGTGAAGGATTTTATTTTATTTTATTTTTTCTTATTCTCTGTGTCATTTGGTCTCAATTTTTGAACAGGGAAAATGACTGAACCAAAAGTAAATACACCCTTGATCACACCTTCATCGCGGAATCTCCCAGATTATAAGAAATCAATTAAGTTGAAAAATGTTAAGCTTGGCTATCATTATGTCATCACCCATGCAATGTACCTCTTCCTTTCCCCTCGTCATTGAATTTGCAGCTCAACTTTCAACATTTTCTCTCCAAGATCTTTATGATCTTTGGGATAATCTTCAATATAACCCCATCTCTGTAATATTCTGCTCGACTCTACTAGTTTTTGTATCCACCATTTACTTTCTCACTCGTCCTCGTCCTGTATACCTTGTGGACTTCTCCTGCTACAAGGATGAAGCTCGAAAATCCTCAAAGAAGATGTTTATGGATCAGTCTCGGTTAATTAGTTCATTTACGGAGGAGAATCTTGAGTTCCAGCGTAAGATTCTTGAAAGATCTGGCCTTGGGGATTCAACTTACCTACCTGAGGCTGTCATCAATATACCTCCAAATCCTTCAATGAAAGAAGCTAGAAAAGAAGCTGAGGCTGTGATGTATGGTGTAATTGATGAGCTTTTCGCCAAGACCTCTGTAAACCCCAAAGACATTGGGATCCTAATTGTGAATTGTAGCCTGTTCAATCCAACCCCATCTTTGTCTGCCATGGTCATTAACCATTACAAGCTCCGGGGAAACATAGTTAGCTACAATTTAGGTGGCATGGGTTGCAGTGCAGGTTTAATATCGTTAGATCTTGCTAAAAAACTTCTCCAAGTCCATCCCAACTCTTATGCTTTGGTTATTAGCATAGAGAACATCACTTTGAACTGCTACTTTGGAAATGACCGGTCGAAGCTTGTTTCAAATTGCTTATTTCGAATGGGAAGCGCAGCAATACTGCTTTCTAACAAATGCTCTGACAGAAGAAGATCCAAATATCGATTGGTGCACACTGTGAGAACCCACAAGGGTGCTGATGATAAATGTGTTGCTTGCGTGACTCAAGAAGAGGACTACACTCGGGCCTCTTGTTTTGCCAATGTCTGAGCAGTTGCTTTTCTTCGCCACCTTAGTTGGGAGAAAGCTTTTCAAAATGAAGGGAAGCCTTACATTCTAGATTTCGGACTAGCTTTTGAGCATTTTTGCATTCATGCTGGGGGAAGAGCTGTTTTAGATGAGCTGGAGAAGAACTTGCAGCTTTCTGGTCGGCATATGGAGCCATCAAGGATGACACTTTACCGATTTGGAAACACCTCAAGCAGCTCACTATGGTACGAATTAGCATATTTGGAAGCCAAGGGGAGGGTGAAGAGGGGAGATAGAATATGGCAGATAGCATTCGGGTCAGGGTTTAAGTGTAACAGTGCCGTTTGGAAGGCTATAAGGACTGTAAATCCGGCAGAGAAGAACCCACGGATGGATGAAATTGATAAGTTTCCGGTGGATGTTCCAAAGGTATCAGCCATCTGAACTCCAATTTGGTAATTTCTCAATCCATTTTGGTGATCAGCAGTAGCCGTTTTGATGTTGGGATGGAGGATCATTCCAATTTGTTTTATTTCCATGGTGGAGGATTGTAAAGAGGTTAGCTTTTTGCATCCGATTTGTTGAGAGCTTGAGTCGCAGAGTGGTTCTTTCTAATAGAAACCTTTTGAGTTATTAGGTGCGCATGGTTACATTAATGGTAGAAACAAGTTTTAATGATTTCTAACAGAGTATGTTTTAACCATTTTAGTAAGGACTCTGGTGATGGTTGTCTGTTATGTTTTTGACCTTCCTGACTTGGAATTAAGAGAGGTAAATTTGGACTTTTCAAGTAATCACACTTGTAAAACTAAAATTTGCTTGGATCAGTTCCCTGCATATTCAGTTGAAATATTACTAGTAGAAATTTATTGCTGTGCCTATTTTTCTTCAGTGGCATTTACCCTAAACATGATATATTTAATGATATGTTTTTTTTTTTTTCTTAGTTGGTACTCACACACACTTATCTCTTTTTAGACTTGAACCCCCCTGACCTCCCAGAGGTCAGGAGCTGATATTTACTTTGAGATATTGTTCTCCTTTCTTGTTACATTTTTAATTTCCATGGTTATGCTCACTAATATTTTGGAAGAAAGAAATATATTACTTTCAATCATTTTTAAAACCAATTTGGCAAATCTCATAACAGCTCATTAGAGTCTCTATTGGATACGGATCCTCTCTCCGAAACTAATTTGAAAGCTAAGAACATCTCTAACCATTATATATATATTCTTGTGTAAATCTGATATGTCATAATAGATTTATACAAAAATTTTGGATTATTTATTTTTAGCTCAAGTGATTATGTTATACCTTCTGTATAAAAATATATCCCCCAATAACAACCAACCATTATCATGTCTGAACTAGGGGTGCACAAAAAAACCGTAGAACCGGTTCTCACGATTCCAATTCCTAAAATAAGGAACCGTTGAGATTCGGTTCGGTTCCGGTTCCGGTCTCATGGTTCG